TTGTCAAGTTCTTCTCTGCCAGGAGATGCTCTGGAGTTGAGGACATTGGTTGCACACCTGGTGAACATATTATAAACCATGAAGTTGCACTCTTTAAATGGGCAAATGTATAAATATATCTCCACAGAAGAAAACAAAGGAATGGTTCATTAGAGATTCAGCGTGGTGGTTGCATCTGGGGCGTGGGCACACTTGGAACATTTGCTCAGCTCTGTAACCTAGTTGCTGGTTGACTTTCTTACTCATTGAACTGTAGACATGTGCTTACTCACACTTTCTTGAATATATAAAAATATGGAAAAAAATTAAAATATGTCCTATAAGAATGATGACAGAAAAAGAAGAAAACCAAGTATGATACAGAAACAGAAACATCCAGAAGATGTACAGCAGGCTGGGAACCAGTGTGAGGAGATGTGGAGGCTGCCCTGCCCTCCGCTTCCCTGAGTGTGGAGGTCACCTAAGGCCAGGAACCCCTGAGTACTTGTCTCTCAACTGCCCCTAGCTACAGCCTCCTGCCCCATCTCTGAGTCAGCCTTCTATGCCCCAATACTCCTCTTTTCTATAGAAGAAACAGTCACCTCCTCTAGGAAGCTTTCCCTGATATATCCACCCAAAGTGGTCTTTCACCTTATTACAAACCCTATTCCCTCATTCACTCAGTATGTTGGAATTACTGACCTTTATATTTTTCAAAATGTTTATTCATTTATTTTTGTAAGGGGAGGAGTGGGAGTGAGAGGCAGAGAGAGAGGGAGACAGAGAATCCCAAGTGCCCTGGTATTACTGACCTTTAGAGCTTGGGGTCTCATCAAGATAAAAAGCTTCTGCACAATGAAGGAAACAATCAACAAAATAAAAGGCAACCAACAGAATGGGAGAAGATACTTGCAAATGACGTATCAGATAAAGGGTTGGTATCCAAAATCTATAAAGAACTTATCAAACTTAACACCCAAGAAACAAATAATTCAGTGAAGAAGTGGGCAAAAGACATGAATAGACATTTCTCTAAAGAAGACATCCAGATGGCCAACCAACACATGAAGAAAATGCTCAACATCACTCCTCATCAGGGAAATACAAATCAAGACCACAATGAGATACCACCTCACACCTGTCAGAATGGCTAAAGTTAACAACTCAGGCAACAACAGATAATGGTGAGGATGTGGAGAAAGAGGAACCCTCTTGCACTGCTGGTGGGAATGCAAACTGGTGCAGCCGCTCTGGAAAACAGTGTGGAGGTTCCTCAAAAAATTAACAATAGATCTACCCTATGACCCAGCAATAGCACTGCTAGGAATTTACCCAAGGGATACAGGAGTGCTGATGCATAGGGGCACTTGTACCCCAATGTTTATAGCAGCACTTTCAACCATAGCCAAATTATGGAAAGAACCTAAATGTCCATCAACTGATGAATGGATAAAGAAATTGTGGTTTATAAATACAATGGAATACTACTTGGCAACGAGAAAGAATGAAA